TTCTGCATGATTAAGATAACCATTTTTCAGCAAAGAAGAAAGCATTTCTTTGCCAAATTGAAAAATCAGAGAAACCATATAACCAAAACCCAACAAAATTAAACCCCACAAAAATGCAAGGCAGAAAATGATTATCAACCAAGGAGTCATCTCAATCAGAAGACCATATTGATGTGGTGGCATATACAACAACAACGTAGCCTTGTCCAACTATCTGGGGCAGTTACATGAACTTTGCTTCTTTGTTCCATTCTATCCTAATGTGCTAAGCCATATGAGACCACAAAAATGGAACATTTTTACATGTTTGAGCTCATCTCAAACAGACTAGATATCCAACTATTTGGGGTTGGCTACATGAAGTCGGATGAAACACAAAAATGCAACGTTTTCAAAATCCTGAGCTCTGACCAAACAGATGTGTTTTCATTAAAAATTGAGGTTAACATCTTAAATTGCTAACCCTCAAGATAAAACAGAACTTATGTGGAGTAATTCGTATAATACAAATAGTATAGTGTATGCTTTCTATAGCTAATGAAATATACCTCAGTTTTCCTGTAGTGAGCGTAGATGTCATCTATGTACTCAACAACATTAAGTGGATCCTTCAAGCCGCAGCTGTCAATATCCATAACAGGTTCCTCTACATCTTCATCCTCTTCCTGCAGTATTCAACACCATCTACCTAGTTAGCTTTCCAATATATAAAAATAGAAACTATTTTTATCTAGTAAGACACACATACCATCCTATCAATTTCATCTAGCATGGCTTCTGTGTGCTTCACAAACATTGGCACAGGAGCATCACAAGCCTCATCCTCATTATCCTCCACATCTACAATTTCACAGTCCACCAGACAACTAGAATTGGCAGTAGATGAGCTCAGTTTCTTAGTTTCCAGATCAATTTCACAGTCCTCCACATCCACCACACCACTCCGATTCGCAACCAATGAAGTCACAGTCACTTCCTTGGTTTCCTAATTGCATACAACCAGCACCAATATATTTTAATTTCAATTTCAATTAAAACAAATGAATAGATGAATCAAAAGCTTTTGGTCATCAGTCTAGAGGTACTACCTTTGGGCACTGCTGGACCATTTGTGCTGCAAACCTCCTATAAGGACATCAACAAATCAAAATTAAATTCTTGAGAGAAAAAGGAAATAACAAAAGGGGAAATCGAACGAGAGTCAGTTCCAACCTTGTAATTGGTCTATGTGGCAGATTTGCCACATTTTTATTACATGCCGCATCTTTCCTGAATAACGATTGACCCAGGTCTCACATTAGTTAATTGAAATGAAAGATTGTTACAAAAAGAATCAAATATCAAAACAAAAACTTAGAAAGAGATTCAGATTATAAGAAAATATCACTAACCCAGCACATTCTCTTTTGTTGACAACACAAGGGTTGACGTTAGCTCTGGTGATGTTTTGGACATCTCTCAATGCCTGACGACGAATCGGCCCCACCTCCTTCACAAACTTGGTACCCACCAATCTTGGACCTTTTTCAGGATTTCAAAGAAAATAAATACAAATGAACAAAATAAATTTAAATTATAAATTATAAAAACGCCATTTTAAATTTAAGGTTTGTTAGGTCTCTACCTTGGAAATTTGAGGACCTAACGAGACCTGGGTTGTTCTCCTTTGAACCCATTTCGATCACCTTTAAGATCAAGGGAAACAGATTAGAACCAATCAGAAACCATCATCAAACAACGAAAATCAAACACCCTAAATACAACAGAAAAAAGGGGGAAAATCCATGATCTAGAACAAGATGAAGTAGAAAAAGACTGAAACGAACAAAACCCAGATCATCCGATTTCAAATATGAAAGAACCAAAGAAACCCACTAACCTTGGAGAGAAATCAAGTCTGGAACTTTATCAAAGTACTGTAAATTAAAGCTAATTAGCTTCAATCTTCAAAATCCCGAGAGAGAAGTGAATGGCATAGGACCTTGGCAAGCCTCCCTCTCTCTCTTCTCCCTCTCTCTCTCTCTATACCTCTCTACGCTCTGTCTCTGTCTTTCTTTCTTGTTGGGTTCTTTAAAATGGGTTTTTATTTATCAAGCAGATTCATATTCGAAGGAAACAGAATAATAAAAGGAAAAAAGAAATAAAAAGCGGAATTGGGGAGAGAAGGGCATGTGTTCGTCTCGTTTTGAATATAACGGCTACTAATTCCTGACCGTCGGATCTTAATACCACCGAAAAGTCACGATGGTCTGTCTCTAACGGCTATCTCGCTTTTGTGCTCCGTGCCCTATTTTTTCAAATATTTTTGTAGGTCGGGCTTTTTTGTTCTTGATTTCTTGGGCTGGGCCTTGACCTTTTTGTCTAATAAAAGGCCCATAACTACGCTCTGCACCAATGATTTGGCTTTTTCTTCTGGTGTCATTTTTGGAAATTTGCTATCGTGGAGCCGGTACTCAAACCCACAAATACGCTCTGCACCACTAAGGAAAGTGTCCCTTACTTCCCAGAAGCTCCTACACCACGTGTGGCTCACAACAATTTAAAAAATTACAAAAAAATTTATTTAAAAAAAAAAAGGGAAAATATACTTTGTATAAAACATTGAAGTTGTTGGTGCTTATCTCTAAATCAATGAATAATGTATGACATTTTATGACTCTATTCGACTGTCGATTGTTGCATAATCTGAATTCATTTCATTTGCAAGATCATAAAAGAAATAGGAAGAGATATGAATAACAATGTCGCAATAGAACAATCTTTTCATATTTCTGAACATTCCATAAATTTAGTTATCTCGTTACGTACAATGACCTTAACAAACAAGATCGTGTGTATCTAATTTGTATTCGAGAAACATATCACGTCTGTGTTAATTGCATATTCAGTTTCCCTTTTTCTTTTCCTTTTATTGCCAAAATAATTTACCTTCTTTCCCATTCGGGCATATAATTAGCATGTAAACTATGATTACTTTAAAAATCAAGGCTTAATATCTTTCATAAGCTTGTAAGCTATAAATTAAGGTTGAAATCTTTATAGTCGATGCCAAACAAATATTCATGTTCATAATTAACCAAAGGAACAATGACTTTTTTTTTCGTCAAAAAAGGAATAATTACTTGACCTAGTAAACTTGGTGAGTGCTCATGCAACGACTTGAACACCAATAGACTTGACCTGCAACGCTGGCTGGCAATCACTCAAAAGTTGGAACTTTCTTCGCTACTCGATTTGTGGCCCGGCCCTCAGAAGGACTTTGCAAATAGTTCAACATGAAGTCAAGGTTGACGTGGATACATTTAATCCAAAATGAGACAGACTTCTTCCAATGAGTTTGTCATGAGAAATTCAATATCTGTTAATGAGTCAAATTGGACTAATTAATGGATAGGGGAGGATCAAATTCGAGTATAAGAGGGCGAATACATTGTATTTGTCAACTAATTTAACTCATATCGATAATTTGAGATTAAGCGTAATTGTGTAACATAATAAATCTAGACGAATAATCTCATCTTGAGGTTTTACAAGTTAAAGATCGATTTGAGTTTATTTGAATACTATCTAGTTGAGTTTGAGTTCAAACTTGAAATGAGTACGTCAGGTTGAGTTAGAATCTCATCGACTTGTACACATGACCCAACTAGCTATTTTTTTTAACCTTGGAACATCCTTCCTTGAGTTAAAAAGGAAATTAGGCTATCAGGTTATGGGGGTGACAAAAGGGGAGAGAAATTCTTGGATGAAACTTGACTTTCAGTAGGCTTTACCACCTCAACTTCTAACTATGGATCGTGCCACCATCATCATTCAGATTTTAAGAGATACAACATGACATTTGAAAAACAACGTTACATAACTGGTTAAATGCATGTGAGTAATCGTGGATTATTAATATAACTGGATATGCGTTAGTGACTGACTATCATCGTCTTGATATTAAGACATCAATCATGTGGAAAAACTGTACACACACAATGCATAGTGGATTCAGTGCACATGAGTAATTGTCAACTACTAATGCAAGTGGGTACATGTCCTAGCAAATAAACATACACACGTACGTGAATGATAGCCGCTAACATACTTGTTGTTTAGTAAGCAAATAGAACATACGTGAACAACAGCTGCTAACATACTTGTCCTTTAGTAAGCAAATGGACTAACTAGCCACTAATGAGATTACGATTTATAAGACAATTAGCATTAGCAATAGGAAATACTGATCGTACATGGTCCACAGAATACAAATATAGACAAAACTGACACACACCAAATTAAACTAAATTAGATTCATATGATCATTAATTAGAGCGTAATTGCGACGGCTATCAAGTCGTCCTAGCTTAAGTAAAAAGGGTCCCACTCCCTCTCTCTCTCCTCTCCCCAAGTCCAGTATTCCATTCCACCGTTCAGATTTTCGCGTCCTCAAAATCACACCACAAAAAGTGGAGGAAAATCAGAGCAGCAGGCGGGGCCCATGGTCCTTCAAGAAAGAAAAGCCCAAAAAATGGGACCCATCAGTACGAATACAAGACGAGAACCAATCCAAAAGGGGTGCACGTGAATGCGCGTCACTTTGTCAATAAACCGCGTGAACCGACCCAGGGGCCCAGCCATATCCTTTCCCATCCCCATGCATGTATGAGTAAAACATATGCAACTGTTTCTCAAATCCCTTTCTTTCTTCCTTTGGTAAACCATAAAACCCGCCAAACATGTACCTCACCCCCCCAAAATTAAAAATTTAAAGATGGAATATCCTAAACATCCGGAACATGACATGACCATGACCAACAATTTGTTTTTGTTTTTGTTTTTAATTCTCATAGTTATCATAATTTTTAGTATAAACAAAATTTAATAACGCACTTAATATAATACAGGATTTGAGTCGGTGGTCATATCGTCTAATGGTATTAAGTCTTCATTTTATTAGGTACGAAAATTTCAAAGTACTTTACCTTTTAAGAAGACCATTTGAGGAGTTTTGTGTAGTTTGTCATGGGGTTAGTTTATAGTGTGCTAGTGGGAATTGGTGGAGCATGACCAACTTTTCCTTTTCTTTTCTTAAGAAAAGCACAATGTGTTACACAACCCTTTAATGATCATAGTAATTAGCGGGGTTTAATTACTTTCTCGGAAAATTCACCATTGTCCGCGAAAAGTTGAAGATTTTTGAGATTTAAGAACACCCTTTAGGAAGTTTTGTGTTGCTAGCTAGATTAGTTAGTTTAGTGCTAGTGGGAAATGGCAGAGAGGCAGATAGTGATGGAGGTTGGGGAGAAGGGGAATGTTGGTGCTTCAACTAACGGTGAAGATGATAGCGATGGTGTTCTTGGGGAATTGATGGGAGTGATTGAGGCCGTTGGATCGTATTCGGGGTTTCGGAGGACGCACAGGAAGGAATGCTTGAACTTGGTGAGGAGGTTGAAGCTGTTGGTGCCACTTATAGAAGAGATGAGAGAATTGGACATATTGATACTTTCTACCACCAAGGCTTTGAATTCTTTGGCTAGTTTGAAGGAAGCACTTGTTTCAGCTAAGAAGTTGTTGAGGAATTGTAGCTGTGAAAGCAAGATTTACTTGGTCAGTACTCTCTCTCTCTCTCTCTCTCTCTCTGTGAATTGACTAGATGGGTTCTGATATTAATGCTTTTGTTATTTGTTTCTGTGTTTATAACATGAACAGACACTAGAAAGTGAGGCAGTGATGGGAAGATTTCATGCAGTTTATGATAAACTAAGCCAGGCTTTGGATGATTTTCCATATAATGAGTTTGGAATCTCAATTGAAGTCACAGAGCAAGTAATTTGATTCCTTACTTTCCTTTTAACTTTTTCTTGTGTTGCTTGCTTTAGCCATCTTCAAATTTTGTACCTTTTCAAGATACTCAAATGGAAGATTTGTTTACCATTCACCAGCTTTACATAAGTTATTGAGTACGTATACTTTGCTCATGAGTTTTTCTGGTCATAGTACCTTGCCCATTAATCACTGATGTGGCTGTAAACTTGGTTAATTTTCAGGTTGAGCTAATGCGAACGCAACTCAGACGGGCGCAGAGACGGGCTGATACGCAGGACATGGAGCTAGCAATGGATATGATGGTTGCATTCTCTCAGAAAAAAAAAAGCAGGAATGTTGCAGACTTGGAAGAGGAAACAGTGGCTGTTAGAAAGCTAGCGAAGAGAGGATCATTAAGGCAGAATACTGAAAGCATTCAACAAATCACTGATCTTTTGGGAAAGTTCAAGGAAATTGCAGGCATTTATGAGGACTTCTTGCTTGATGGTCCAGTTTCAACAAGAAGTCCAAGGAAGTGCCAGTCTTTGTTGATCCCTCATGAATTTCTCTGTCCAATTACATTGGAGATCATGACTGATCCTGTTATTGTGGCAACTGGACAGGTAATCTCAAGTAGACCATATGAACTATTTGTACCACTAGTTGTTACCATATATGCACATTTTGATACATGGTTTAATGGATTACATGTTGTCATGGGCAAGATCATAAGTTATGGTTTCAGCATCAGTTTGAATTCTGGTCATCATATAAACAGAAAACTTAATCGGGAAAAAAGAAATTGCCTCAAGTCAAAATAAAAACTGAAAGCTTTTAAGTTCAACCATATTTTGATTTTCTCAAATGCATAACATGGGGTCTGAGATAGTTTTCCTTGCCTTCTTTTGAAGACTTATGAAAGAGTAAGCATACAAAAGTGGCTCGATTCGAACCACCGCACCTGCCCAAAGACAGGACAGACATTGGATCACTTATCGCTGGCGCCAAATTTTGCCCTCAGGAACCTAATCCTGCAATGGTGTGAGAAGAACAATTTTGAACTGCCCAAGAAGGAGCCTTGTGCAGGTTCTGATGACTCATCTGCTGAAATCATAGAGGAAGTGTCTTGTTTAGTACAAAATCTATCGTCTTGTAATTTGGAAGTCTTAAAAGAAGCCGTTTTCAAAATCCGTATGCTCTCCAAAGAGAATCCGGAGAACAGAATTCTGATTGCTAATAGTGGAGGAATCCCCCAACTGGTTAAGCTCCTGTCTTATCCCGATTCGAAGATTCAAGAACACACCGTGACAGCGCTTTTAAATTTGTCAATTGATGAGGCAAACAAAAGACTCATAGCCAGAGAAGGGTCCATTCCTGGTATAGTTGAAATCCTTCAGCATGGAACAGATGAAGCTAGAGAGAATTCTGCTGCTGCATTGTTTAGCTTATCGATGCTCGATGAGAACAAAGTACTAGTGGGAACTTTGAATGGAATTCCTCCCTTGGTAGATCTTCTGCAGAATGGAACAGTCAGAGGTAAAAAGGATGCTGCCACTGCATTATTTAACTTGTCTTTGAACCAAGCCAACAAGTCTAGAGCCATCAATGCTGGTTTAATACCACCATTGCTTCATTTACTTGAGGATAAGAGCTTGGGCATGACTGATGAAGCCCTCTCAATTTTGTTACTCCTTGCATCACATCCCGAGGGTCGAAATGAGATGGGCCGGCTCTCTTTCATCGAAACCCTGGTCGAAATTATCAAGAATGGAACCCCCAAGAACAAGGAATGTGCTACATCAGTCCTTCTAGTGCTGGGATTAAACAACTCATCTTTCACTTTGGCTGCTCTTCAGTACGGAGTGTATGAGCATTTGCTGGAGCTGGCTAGATGTGGAACCAATAGAGGGAAAAGAAAAGCAAATTCCCTTTTGCAACACATGAGTAAGTGTGAGCACATTCCCTAACCAACAAAATAAAAAACTTGATTTATAATCTTTAATCATTCTTGAGTGTTGCCTAATTAAGTTTTAGTGGAGTAAATCATAGTTCAAGCTGTGTTATGTTCTTTCCTGTGTGTCTTTGTGCCAAAGAGAGTGAGAACATATTCAGGTATAGATTGTAAAATGCTAAAAAGAGTCTTTGAAGTGAAATAAGGTTTTTTTTTTCTTTCAAGAGACAGATTCTTAGACTTTTCTTTATCTTCTTTCTTCTGCACAGCTCCAATGATTATCTAGTGTTTATTGAGTTTTTTCAATCATCATATTGGACTAATATTTGATTAGTGCCTTATTAGGTGCAACTAATACTATTGCAATGATATCTATCATTAATTAGTGCCCTTGAGAAATTGCTGAGAAATTGCTAATTGTGCTACAAGGCTACTTGCAGGACATCAGGTTGTTGAGGAGCATATCACATTTTATTTTTCTGAAAGATCATCATTTCTTGTCAATCTGGTGGATGGAATTAAATCAGGTGGATCATAAATGAAAATTGCGACTAGCAATCCCCATCCAACCAAAAACAAACATTGCAACTAGCAACCTACCTATACAAACTAAACGAAATCTATCAACAACTCATATCTCTAGATGTCCTTTTCATTTACAATATAAGCATCTCCCTAAAATTCTATACACAAATTGATATAGTGAAAAAATAATATGACCACTTTGAATCCTATTTTTATTATTTAAACTACAAGGTACTTTTATGTCATGTACACATCCATTGGTGCATGGTTTTTCTTTGAAAGAAATTGATATTATTATTGGGTAATTAGATCTTAATTCCAAAATTTGACAAGGGCTTGTAGCTCAAGTAATTAAGAGTGTTTACCTATACACCCAAGATGTTATGTTTAATTCTCCCCTCCTATAATGTTGCTTATATCCAAACAAAAAAAATCCCCAATATTAGCTAGGATCTCAAGTGCAGGGGTAAATGCTCTTAACTACTTAAGCTACAAGCCCCTTACGCGTGCCCTCCATTTTTAGTATATTAGGAAGTGAGAGAAATAAATCAGGGCTATATGTTGACAGTAGTGTTTTTTTTTTTTTTTTTTTTTTTTGGTTATTGAATAAAATCAAGAGTGTTATTATTTCCACCCACCTGTTCTATTTTTCCACCCACTTTATCTTCAAAATTTTAAAAATAAATTTATCCTTTACAAAATGACTTTGAAGGACAAATTTAAAACTCTCTCTATTTATTAATATAAGCTTGACACAGCATTAAAATTCAATCTAAGGGTTAGAAAAAAAGACACATGGCCACTTTTACTTGAGGAAAATAAAACAAAGGGAACCTAATGTCCCGCTTCTTTCTTCAGAAAGGATGAACAGAACCCAACCAAACTCTGAAACTCGAGTATCCATTCTTATTGTCTAGTTTCATGCCATATTGAAATCTAATCCCTTTTCTTTTCCTTCTGGACTAGAATTTAGAATCTTTAGTTTTTTCTACTTGGCTAATTTGTTTTCAAATAAGACCTAATATACTTCCTTCTTCCAAAAACAATAGAACCTTCAACCATATCTAGGCGTTAGAACTCAAAAGACAAAAAGGAGTTCCTGATTGAGAGAAATAATTGGAAATAAGATAAAATCAATAGTTTATTTTGAATATCAGAGAGAGAGAGAAGAAAGGAACCATTCATGATTATGGGAATCAAAATACAATGGGTTTCTATTTGGGTTTTGAGGGTCTATATTTTTTAAGGAAGAGAGGTTTGGGTCGCGGGGGTAGGGAGAGACTTAAGTGGGAATGGGCTAATTGAAGAATTTTTTAATTATAATGGAAAATATGAAATACAATTACTCTTTTTTTTAAAAAAATAAAATAAATAATGATTAGTGAAGGGAATTTATTAGAATTAATAATTAAAGGGTATTTTAGGAATAATGGTGGGTGGAAAGATAAATTTGTGTTCTTTCAAATTTACATGGTGGGTGAGAAGATAAGATGAGTGAGAAAATAGGACAATGGGGTGAAAATAGCAGCACTCAAAATCAATAGTCTAAGAGCATCTCCAACCGATATGTCAAAAGTGTCACATAGACATTTAACGGCTATAAATAACATCTCACATCACTCCAACCGAATTGTCAAAGCTGATGTGGAATGAAGGTTGGAGGTTCAGCTGTTATTTTTGACATCTCAAAAGCAAGATGTCAAATAAATATTTTATTATTTTTAAAGACAGATGGCTGTGACTTTCATTTATAATTTTAATTTTATAATTTTTTTTCTTCTTTATCTTTAATGATTTGACTGTTACAATAATTATTTATTTGACATATCGGATGGAGTGTAAAACTGTTTAAATATCAAATTGCCACATCAGCCATCAAATTTAAATTTGATGTTTGGTATTTGACACCCCTCCAAATTTGCACTCATTGTCAATTTAGGGGAGTATATTCAATTGAGATTTTAACAGATTGTAATTACATGATTTTAATGTAATGAATTTCAACTGGATTTGTAATTATATGATTTTATTTATGATTTTAATAGATTGCAATTACATGATTTTACTTATGATTTTATTAACTTAGGATTTTACTTATGATTTTAATAGATTACAATTATAGGATTTTACTTTATATTTCTATGGGAGCATTTTGCTCACCACATTAACCAAATGTGTATGCTCACCACCACCCTTAAAAGGTGTCTGCCTCATCCTTCTCAGAATCTCTTCTTCTGCAACACTCTAGTACTAGTAACCAACCATCCACACCAATCAAAAATCAAAGAGGCAAGCTTTGAGCTTTGAAATTAGGAGTAAGACTAAGAGCAAGAAATTCCGTATTTTCTTTTGTTAGATTTTGATTGATTCATAATTGGTGGTTTATTGGATTTGGAAGATTTTAGTTTTGGGTTTAGGGGTAGCCAAATCATATGGAGGAAGATGAGATGGATTAGTTGTTTGAAGGGATGATGTTGTTTACCCCTAACAATACCAATAATAATCACTATGTCATCTTAAGAAAAATGGTGGTTGTTTTTCTGGGAGAAAAAAATGGTGGTTTACCGTATGAGGAAGAGAGGAGAGTGTAGGAAAGAGAAGAAAGAGGGTTCAGGGGAGGGAGGAGGAAAGAAAGAAAGAAAAAGAAAAAAAAAAGGAAGAGGGAAATGAGGAAAAAGGGGGAGTGTGCTGTGATGTGGGCCCTTTATTGTTTCTCTTATGATTTTTTTTTTAATTTTTTATAGTAAAAAGCATGAAAAAATAAGGGGGGAAAAAGTATGAGAGCATATATGAGAATCATGCATGGGATGGTGTGATTTGTTATGTGATTTGGTATGTATATCACACACTCAAAAATCTCACACAATACACCATATAATGAAATACATTAAAACCAGTAAGTATTTGAATACCACAATACTTTTTCTTAATTTTTAAAAGTCCTAATTGAATACCACCAGACTTGTACTGATTATTTAAAAATCTTAATTAAATAACACCAGACTTTTATTAATTACTTAAAACTCCTAATTGAATAGTCTTGTACTTTTAAGCTTCAAAATCATCTATTAAAATCACAATTGAATATACCCTCCTAAACTATAAGGAGATGGGGTTTCTCACACACATACTATCGGAGAGGGGGTTTCTCACACACATACTATCAATGTGTGTACCATAAGTATTCAAACCTAAGACCTCTGATTTGCAAATCAAGGTTCTTTTCGGGCTAGACCTGTTGACCAAATGGACAATAATTTGTTACTCCATTTTTAGTATGTTGGGGAATCATAGTGTCTCAATGAGGTAATGGAGCTTAAGGAAGCGTGATCCTGCAATATTTTTCCTTATTTTTTGTTATCTGATTGCATTATGAATGTGGTTGTTGGATGATTAATCATCTTTTATTGTTTTTTAATTTTATTGGTTTTCATATGAAATTATTACTTCAGACTTCAGAGGGAAGGTGGTTTGATAAAGCTTGAAGGGCCAAAAAATAAAATAAAATAGGTCCCCTGAGATTATTATAACATAATTGAGTTAATGTTCATCGACTACAAATATCTGGCAACAAGTCATGCTTTTACATATTTGTCTCATGAGATGTGAAATTAACTTAACTAATACAACTCATTAAACTAATGTGTGGAAGTCCAACAACGTTATTCAAGATTAATAGATAATCCGACACAATTCGTTTCGCCCGTAAAAAAGGTTAATCATATTCAATGTTGAATACTGGTTAGATTCGTTAACCAACCGTTAGTAAGAATAAAAGAATTAATTTTTGAACAAAAAATTACTTAAGTTCATTATTTAGACATTCTCTTTACATAGCTAAAAACTTAAAGATAAAATAAATAATGAAATTTCTTAACACCCGATAAGGGTTTTTGTGGGTTAACATGAACATGACATTTTTTAACGGATCACTAACATATTCACCAGACACTAACAAGCCTATCGGTTAACATGCCGGTGTGCATGATTTCCAAATCTATTATGGAGACTTTCAATTCAAGTGGTAGAACGCTTTAGTATCATATTCATCATGAAAGTTATATTTTTGTTTCTCAGTGTGGAATAAGAAAGTGAAATATGTATGATATCATATGCGATATTTCATTCACAATATAATTACAAAGATTGTAACCCTAATCTTGAATGTGAAGATAAACGTCAAACAATTAAAACTATGAAACCTCCAAGCTGAGTATTGTTAAAGCTACAAGGGTACCATAGCAACTTGAACTCAAAGTATCATGGCACAATACGATTGGTCACTAAAATAAATTATAATAAAAATTCAACTATTTATTTATTTATTTTGATAAGATTTTAATTCTTGCTATAAAAAAACGAAGAAAAAAGAAGAAGGGTTCAGGACTTCAATTCCACAACCACAACAAGAATATGCGAACCAAACCGTAGAGAATCTGAGCCCTCTCTTTCCTTTTGTTCTTACAAAAGGGTTTTCCCATTTGGCACACAAACCCACATATACTCTGATTAATCTTTTACCTGTCCAGTTCCAAATCTTCTTCAATCTCCTTCCTTTTCTCTATTTTAATTTTGTAAATTATATATTTTTTATTTTTTATTTTCCCCCAAATTTTTATTTCCCATATAAAATAGCTTATATTTTATTCAGAACACAAATTTTTTCTGGGCTTTCATTAGCTTTCACACTTAAGGGGTTTC